CAACATAACCAACGTGACCACCTGCTTGCACAGGGAGCGTGCTGGGGACTATTTTCAGGCGCTGCGTAATATCATTGCGCCTGCTGCACTCATGGTACGGCAGCAAAGTTCCTTGATTATTACGCCGGAATGAGAGTAAAGTTCCTAGCCATATCGGCCTACAAAATCGCAACTTTTCATTTCCCGTCTGTCTTAGTACACCATGTAACTACAGAAGAGTCAAGTTTTAAATAGGAAAAATATCAAAACTCTTTGGTCATTTTTGAGCGAGATGCTAATGGTCTAATCAGATTCAATGATCTATGCTAAGCTACAGCTAAAAGTGCTACCGCCAGACCCGGAGATCGGCTGAATGGATTCGAAAACGGTAAAACTCAACTGTTTAACTCTAGGAGAGTTGGAAAATTAGCCTATTTTCAAAAATAGTGGCGTGTTCCTTTAAGATATCCTTTAATGGTTATCATCAACTACTAGACTACTGAATATAGTGAATACAGTATGGTAATATTCATAAGTAACCTGATATGTTTGGCCTTTGTCTTCCTGTCTTGAACGGCTCACAATGGAGCGCTGCAGCTTTATTTCTGAAACCCTGTCGCTCACTGAGCTCTTTGTCCAGCAGAAGCATGAAGGTCATCGTGAGCGTGAAGGATATTTTGCCTGCTACTCCATCAGCCTCATATTAACCCCTCAAGCACACTTTTTCATAAATACTACTAAAAATAACTTTGAATGAAATAAATTGATAAAATTTTATACATCGTTTTATTTTGTATTTTTAATTCCATTTTGCAGTTTCTATAATAATAATAATAATGAATTACATAAATTATATACTAAATAATATATAATACACTGATTAATAAAATATCATTAACATAATTAAAATAAATTATTAATTAATACAGTACATTATTAACTATAATTGTTTTTATTATTTTGCTAGGTTCTACAAAGGAAAAAACAATATTTATAATAGTAATGATTACTCTTTGTAAATTATAAATAATCTACAATATATAAATTATTTAAAATAAATTTAAGTAGGATTAAAATAATTATTAGAATAATTCTGTGCCTGGACAAACAAAATACAATAAACAGAACTTAAATAAAAGAGTTTTCATCTACTTTTTATACTGACTATATTATATTATCTATTGATCTACAATATACAATAATAACATTTTCTTTATAAATACTATAATAAAATTATTTTAAATAAAATATGATACATTATTTGATATTGTTTTATTTACTTTTTCATTTTTAAATTTTAAATCATTTGCAATTTCTATAATAATATTAATAAATATCACAAATTATATAGTAATAATCAAGTAATAAACATTTGGATATAAATGATCATTAAAATAAGTCAATTATTAATTCATATAGCACATAATTAAATGTTTTATTTTTATTTTATTATTTGAATTTATTTTTGCTTGGCTGTACAAATGGGATTAAAATAATTATTGGAATAATGCTGTGCCTTGACGAACAAAACACAGTAAAGCGAGTGTAAATAAGAGCTTTCACTAATGATCCTCCTAACAGCAACACACCACACAAATGAACGAATCTGCGAGGAAGGTGCTGAATAATTCACGCTTATGTGTGTTTTGAGGCTCACAGTCGACGGCGTTTCAACACGCAGGCAAAATATTCCTCATTTCGAGTAGTTCTGTATATTTTAGGAGTTAAGGAGGGGATCGGGGAGCGTCAGTGTTTGGTTAGTATCAGGGACGTCGAGGCAGCAGAAGTAGCTTGTTTTGTTCCCGCTAGAGACAAAGTCACGGTTAAGGTGTGGAAAGAACTGGTTAGGTGAGGTTAGGTTGAAGGTTAGAGGTTCACAAACACACAAATGTCTCACATGAAGTCGTGACTGCAAAAACGTCCTCTAAGAAGCCTCCAGACTTTCTCGAGCGAGAAAAAGCGTGATTTATAAGACAATCTGGCCGCGTCTTCATCCATCTGCTTGTTGGGAGTTGGGGCTCCACGCCACACGTTCAGGCCGCAGTGACCTTAAAAACGGCTCATCAGAGGCACAGATGTCCCATCAGCACAATCTGACAGACGGTGACTGACTAATGTGACCCTGGAGCACAAAACCAGTCATAAGGGTCAATTTTTCAAAATTGAGATGTATGCATCTGAAAGCTGAATAAATAAGCTTTCCATTGATGTATGGTTTGTTAGGATAGAACAATATTTGGTCGAGATACAACTATTTGAAATGATTTTTGGCATAAAAGAAAAATCTATAATTTTGACCCATACAATGTATTGTTGGCTATTGCTACAAATATACCCCAGCGACTTAAGACTGCTTTTGTGCTGCAGGGTCACAAATAAGATGCATTAAAAAAAGCTTTATAAATGATTAAATACGCAAGCAGAGATGGAAACACCAGTCTCACATCAAGAAAATGATCATTATATCAATATAATAGGAGTTTAAATATATACAAAAAAATATGTCTACAAAATGATCACTCTGTCTGCAGCGGGCGTGAACGACAACCAAAGCAATGTAATGTAAATCAACACTGCAAAGCCGTCTACACTGGAAGTGTACATTATGGCTATTATTTAATTTTTATAAAATAAAATAATAATATTGGTATATTTAATAGGTAATAATTATTATATTAATTATTAATAATAGTAATTATTATTATAAATAATTAATTATAAAAATAATGATATTAATTGGTATAATTAATAATACTAATATAAGTGTCTTAATTATTATTATAAATTAAACATTCAAATTTATATCTGTATTTATAATAAATATTTCATATTGATAATATATTACTAAGTAATACACATTATTTTATAATAACAATACTTTATTATTTTCGAAAAATCTAATATTTAATATAATAAAATCTTAATTCTATAATCGATTTGACAAATACGTGCTTAGATACCTAGTTTATTAATATAAACATTTTTATTGACCCACAAATACAATATTATAATTAAAATAGCAATTAAACGCAAATATAAATGTATAAATCATTATTATAAGTTAAATATTCAAATGTATTTCTATATTTATAATATATAACTAATGATTAATAAATGAATATTCACAATATATTAATAAATAACAGACATTTATGTTAATATATAAATTCATATTATGATGATAATGATAATAATAATAACAATATTTTATTATTTAAAAAAAAATCTAATATTTAGTATTTATGAAATCCAATTCTAAAATTAATTTGACAAATAATTGCTTATATGCATAATAAAAAACTGCATCGGTCATTTTATTACATAGATATTTGAATATAATATAAAGCATACAAATTTATTAAATACATATATTTATTATTTAAATAAATCAGTGCTGGGCAATGATTAATCGTGATTAATCGCATCCAAAATAAAAGTTTTTGTTTACATAGTATATGTGTGTGTACTGTGTTTATTTATTATGTATATATAAATACACACACATGCATGTATATATTTAAGAAAAATATATTATGTTTATATATTAAATATATTTATATATTATATAAATTATGTGAATATAAATATATACATGTAAATATATTCAAAATATATACATGCATGTGTGTGTCATTATATATACATAATAAATATATACAGTACACACACATATACTAAGTAAACAAAAACTTTTATTTTAGATGTGATTAATCACGATTAATCGTTGCCCAGCACTAAAATAAATGTTTAAATTATAATATAACAATAATTAATCAAATATTTTTAAATCACACTTTTTTACTTTTAAATCAAATATTTACTAAACATTGCTACAATAATGTTTTTGTAATTAAATAATTAATTTGACAAATTAACTTAAAATGCAAATGCACTACATACTTAATCTACATAAATACATATTTATTTACGATTTTACCATTTCTGGAGTCATCAAATGGTGTGTATAAGTGAGCATTGACTTGAAGTGCAGCTTCAACACCTCCAGTGCAGATAAACTCAAGCCTTCAAAACTACCCAGAGAGCTTCACCTTTCTGCTGTTTACTAGGGCTGGGACAATAAATCGATGCATCACGAATCGAGAAATGATTCTGCATTGATTCTGAGATTTTCCGAAGGCATCGTGATTCTCTCTAGAATCAATTCTGAGCTTAGTTTTTAACAGCAGATGGCACTGCAGGCTTTAGAAAGAGCCGTATTCTGCTTGCTTGCAGTTCCTTACACACACACCGCTTGAACCTAAAATAATCATTCATAAAGTTCGAAAAGGTTGAAGCGAATTACAAGGATGTTCACAGTGGGCTGTGTTCACATTAATCTCGCATCGTAAAAGCCGATGTGCGAGTACATTTAACCACTTACATGACTCAGCTGAACGCACAAGCGCTCTTCTTCGTGAGCATTTGAGTATGCGGTTAAAACCTAGCCTAGAGCGCCATCTGCTGTTAAAAACTAGCCTAGAGCGCGTTGTTAAAAACTAGCCAGCGCCATCTGCTGTTAAAAACTAACCTAGAGTGCCATCTGCTGTTAAAAACTAGCCTAGAGCGCCATCTGCTGTTAAAAACTAGCTCAGAATCGATTCCAGAGAGAATCACGATGCATTCCGAAAATCTCAGAATCGATCCACGAATCGCGATGCATCGATTTATTGTCCCAGCCCTACCATTTACGGACCTAAAGAAGCTTCACCGAAGCATCAAGGGTCATCTTCAATCTCCAAAACACCGTAAATCACCCCTGCAGAGGATCTGCTCGTTCATTCGGCCAATCAGATGGCACAGGAAGTGCAGAGCGCAGCAGGAAGTCCGGCCTGAGCTGATTTCTGTTCCTGCAGCAGGACCGGATCCATACATCAGACCGCCGAGGACGCCAGATCTGGTTCTCCTCTCAAGAAAAACGTGTCCGGCCTGGTCTGGAAACTAAAGAGATCAGTTTCTCTTCTGGACAGAGATGCAAACAGGAGCGCAGCAGGTTTGGCCGCCATCGACGGCTACAGGCCTTTTTCTCATCAGCGTAAATCCCTTCAGGACGGAGGATCAAGCGCTGGCCTCCTGAGCAAACATCCCATCACTCGCTCAAAGAGCTTCAACAGCACACGTGATCAACAACCGAGTCAACATGAAACGCTTTTACGTCCTTAATGCACATCTCCATACCGAAAAACCCACTTCAACCAGTCTGAGCTGGACTCTCAGACTGAAAAGTGCCCAAAACCCCTGTAAAACCAGCTAACAGACCAGTTTGACCCTGATAAGACTCGCAGTACAGCTCAGGCTAGATTAAGATGTTTTTTTTCTTTAGCTGAGCCTCTGAGGTCATTAAAGTCACAAAGGCTATAAGATAATGTTAATAATAGCGAAATATGAAATATACATATCAGACCAGAAAAAATAGCTAAATAAATCTATGTTAAAAATATAAATAATCTAAAATATACCACCAAAAATAAATATAAAAGAAATTAATACTTGAATATATATATACACACTGTATATATGGCTTGAAATATTTCAATAATATTATTAATATATAATTTAATAATATATTAAATGTAAGTTTGTAAAAAACATCTACAGCGTCTTTTATGCTGACATTAATTAGCAAAACAACATTATAAATAATAATAATAATTATATAATTATTATAAATTATATTGATTAGCAGAAATATTTAGACAAATATTATATACAATATAATAATAATAATATCATCATTATTATTGTTTGAATTATTGCCTTAAATATAGAATTAATGTAAATAAGTAAAAGCCTCTGTAACAATTATTACATAATAATTATAAATAATGTTATTTAGCAAAAAATATTTAGACAAATAAATTATATATAACACATATATACTTTAATTTACTTAAAACGATATTTTAATAAAATTATTAAAATATAATAATAACAACAATAATACAATTATACATATTTACTTTTAAATATATTAAAACATATTTGAACAATAATAATAATAATGATGATAATAACAAAAATGTATGTAACATTTAAAATAATAATTATATAATTGTTACATAAACAGATTTTAGTCTTATAATATATGACGGTTAGCATTAATCAAGTGTCGAATGCCACCCTTTTCACAATGTAATTGATTCCTGATGATCAAAACCAACTGCCCTACACTCTCAGAAAAAAAGGTACAAAAGCTGTCACTGGGGCGGTTTTCAAAAGGGACACTTTTGTATCTTTTAGGTACTAATATAAAATCAGCAATGAATCGCCTGCGATTTTGTGTAGCTTGTCAGTGAACTACGACTCTGTGTACTAAATGCCGCTCCATCTGAAAGCACGTGCTGAATATTTACTACTAATCACCAGAAGCGGCTTTACTGATGAGATGCGCATGAAAAAAATCGCA